CGGGCTCGCGCGGGACACGGACGCCCTTCGGGTCGTAGTGGTTGCGGTGCTGGTCGAGGTCCGTCACAGGGCGCTCAAGTGGTTGAGACGGTCCGCCCCCTCGAGGTCTTGGCAGGTCCAGAGCTTGAGGCGGCAAAAGCACAGCCCCATCACTCTGGCGAGGTCCGAGGACTCAAGGATGCGGGTGGAACTGGGGTCGTAGCGATAGCGCCGCATGTCGTAGAAGGGCGTGGCGGGTTGGTGGCGTTGTCGCTTCTGGCTGGGGAGCAGGTCGACTCGGAGTGGCTTGATGCGTCCCAGGTTGCGCTGGGCGACTTGCTCCAGCTTCTCTTGGGTCCAGAAGGTCCTGTGCATGTATGGCAGTTTCTGAGCCGTCTGCATGTTGTTCATGATCATGTCGGCCAGATAGGCGCGGGGGTCCTTGGCTTGTCGCAGGTCGGATGCGATCTCGTTGATGTGGACCTTCATCTGTTGGATGAGCTTGCCGGTCGTGTCCTCCTCCCAGCGAAGAAGGTAGAGCATGTAGCGCCGGTCGTCGTCGCCGGTGATGGCCTCTGCCAATTGGTCCGTCTCGTGTGCTCCAGCGGTGGCGCGTACCACGAGGCACTTCTGGGCCGGCACGAAGCGTTCTGTGTCGTCTTGGCCGGCTGCGGTCAGGGCCTCCCCTCGGGATGCGGCTTTGGCGTCACTGTAGGTTTTCCAGGGGTGGTATTGCTGGAGGCACTCGGGACAGAAGAACTGGCCGTGCTCGGTGATGTTGGCGGTGGCGCGCAGCCAATGTGACGAATGTACCACCGCTTTGCACGACTGACGTCGGCAGATAAAGTGCTCGTCGGTGGACGGGAGGACGCGGGTGATGAAATCGGTGAGGTGTGTGGGATAGTCGTCAGAGTCCAAGAACTCAAGGAGGGTCCCGGTGCTGTTTGCGCGCAATGCCTCGGTGAGGTGCTGCCTCTCCCATTTGTGGAACATGAGGAATAGGTCTCGTCGGTCCTCGGGTGCCAGGTTGATGAGGTCGAGGCACATGGTTTCGGCGAGGAACTTGGAGTGGTCGCTGTCGCTGATGAGGCGGCGAAGGTGGTTGTTGGAGGTTCCGGGGTGGATCTCGCGCAAGGAGTCCATCATGTCCGTGTGGGTGTTCGTGCGGATGGTGCCGACGGCCTTGTTGGTCATGTAGTCCAAGCGGCGTCGCCATGCTCGTCGGCACAGCTTGCTGAACACCTCGAGGGTGAATGGCCGGCGGTTCTTCACGTCGAGGGCTGGTACCCTGATCCAGCGGCGGTTGACCTGGTCCCACCTGTGCACGGTGATGTAGGCGTCGTGAGCGTCGTCCGTCTCTGGCACCGCAATCTGTAAGGTCGGTGGGGCGATGGTATGGTCGCTGATCATGGCCGCGAGGTCGGGGTGCTCTGCGATGGTGTTGTACGGTGCGTGTTCTGCAATCAGGGAGTTCGGGTCGGCCAGGAGCTCCTCGAACTGGAACCACGGCACGCTACTGGTGTCGCAGGTAGCGCACCCGTAGCACGCCCCGACCCACTTGTTTCGCCAGTCGGTTTCCTCTGAGAAGCAGAGGGGCATGATGTACTGGGATTGGTATGGGATCTGGCAGAACGAGCACTGCAGTGTGGCTGGTGTTGGATTCAGGTTGTGCCAGTCCAGCAGCAGGTAGCGTGTCCGTGTGTCCGGCTCGGTGTTGGTCGACTCCATGAAGAGGTCGATCGCGTCCGTGGTGGAGAGGCGGGGATTCTCGGTGCGGAAGGTCTGGAACCTCGAGAGGACGCCGGTGTTGTAGGACCGCAGGAGGAGCTCGCAGACTGCGTCGGTCTCGCGAAGTGCCATGTTGTGCGAAGGGGGTGCGATATCGGATACACAAAAGCCAGCCTGAAAATTCCTTCGGAATTGGAGGTGGCGCTTGCCGAACTCACGCAGGAGTCGGTAGTGTGCCGGGTGTGAGTCAAAGGGGGGGGGTTGGTCGGGCCAGGGGGGTGTGTCTAGGTGACTCGGGTCCAAGGATGGCCCGTTGATGGGGGGGATCTGTACGACGCGCCACACCGGCACAAACGTCGTGTTAGATGACACGCCACACCGGCACAAATGTCATCCCGAGGGGTGGAGCTGTCCCGTAGGACCAACTCCCTGCGGTGTGAAGGTGACCGGGGTCGGCCAGTTTGTCATCAGGGATCCGACCCGAAGAAACCGAGGGTAATCCACAGGGGATCCGAAGTGGGGTGAAAGACCGGTCGGGTTCGGGGCAGGCGAGTGGGGATTGGTCACCGCAGTATGGGCCTCAGCAGTGGGTCGGTTTGTCAAGGGGTATCCTCTCGAATCAAACAGGGGGGACGAAGAGGGTCGACCCGGGCTCGAGGCTCTCAGCGCTTTTGCGCGGTCCGAAGATGGATCTCTCTTCGGGAAAAGGGGGCCTCAGGCGGTCGCCTAGGCATGGGTGTCACCTGTGCGGTATGAGGGTCATCGCCCTATTGCTGGCCCACCATCGCACGGGACATGGACTTGGTGGGTCAACTTAGGGTGGCGGGTTTGGAGACTCCTCGGTGCCGCCTGGTCAGTAGCGGGAGTCCTGGCTCTGCTCAGTCTTAGAGCTCCCGGTTGAAGCGCAGGTGTCCGTCGGGGCCGAGCAGGATGCCCTCGATGGTCGCCATGGTGCGTTGTTCGGGGGTCAGGAAATTGGAAATTGTCTCAATGATGGTCTCCCCGAAGGTGATTGCCATGTTGTCCACAAAAGGGTCTCGCCGGGAGGCGCGACAGAGCTGCCTCCCGAAGGTAAGCCAGGAACAGGTCAGTTGTTGTAGCATGTGCTGCCGGTTGGCGCTGTTGAGCAGCTGGAGTTGTTGGTGAACGTGTTGCTGGATAATCCAGCGCAGCAGGCTCCTGAGAGGTGTGACCTGCGTAGTTGGTTCCACGGGTACAAGAAAAAGGCCCCCGAAGTCATTGCCGTACACATTGGTGGGGGTGCGCGAGAAGATGCCGTAGTTGGTCAGGTGCCATTGCAAGCCGATGTGGTCGAGGACGGAGGGGAATTCCGGTAGCAGTTCCGGATTGATCAGGAAGGTGGCATCTTCGTGTACCCGCGCGCGGATGTGTCCGGCCCGCTGGGTTGACAGCAGGCCTTGTGTGCTGTCGTCACGGTCGATGCCTGGCGGCTGGAGCCACTGGACTAAGTCGTGATGTTGGTTGGATGGTGTGGGGGGTGCCGCCTTGGATGGTGTGGTGGGTTGCGGGCGTGGTGAAGGCATGTGGTGCGGGACGGGCCCGGTCGATGTGGTGGTCGCCTCCGGGAATCGGGCCTGTCTGGGAGTGTCGCGAGCCGTGGGTGTCGCGAAGTTGACGGTCCGCGGTGGTGTCATAGCTCGGGAGTATCCCGGTTGTGTGGAGCGGCCTCGCTGCTGTCGGGGGGTGTTGTTCCGTTGGCGAGACGGGTTCAATGTGCTTGGCGGGCCACGTGGTACCGCGTATGGCATCTGGTAGGTGCACGGATCGGGGTACCGAACGTTCATGTGGTGAATGGGCGTGTTCCACTCGCCGTGAAGGTGGTCGCGGAGGATTTCAAAGGCCTCCCGCCTGGACACGAAGCGCCATTCACGGTGGGCTGTGTCATAGTGGATGCCCACGCCGGTGTTGGGTCTGGCATGGTGCACGAAGCGCAGCCAGGCAAGAAGGTCACCATGCAGGACTGAGTCGCTGTGAACATGGCGGCATTCGGCACCACTGTCGCAAAAGCCTTCTGGATGCCGGGCCTGTTGTCGAAGATGTCGGTAACAGATGTTGTCTCGCGGCATCCAACGCGCATCAACGAACTCCGGATGCAAAAAGGCGCACTGGTGGGCAGAGGCAGGTGCACGTCCCCTGCAGCCGGAATGGTTGATGAACTGGTTGCAGACCTGATTGCCCTGCAAGATGTTGCCCGGACCGACCGCCTCGGGCAGGATCGAAAGATGGTCTTGAAGGGCCCGGTACAGTCGTTCATAATCCGGGTCGAGCTCGGTCATTTCCATGAGCTGGTACTCCTCCACGATGGATGCGAAATTCGCTGGAGCAGTCATGGCGGTCGAGCAGGCAGGTCAGGTAGGTCGGAAAGAAAAGAAAAATTTGGCTAATTCGCCAAAATGGCGAACGGAGCATGAATCAAGCAGTGTCATCCTGCAGGCACTCAAGGTTCGAATCTGAGTGTGATTCAAATGCCTTCCGCTATCGGTTGTTACTTTTAACACAAGTGTTAACCGCAACAACAACAACAACAACAACAACAACAACAACAACAACAAACAACAACAACAACAACAACAACAACAACAACAACAACAACAACAACAACAACAACAACAACAACAACAACAACAACAACAACAACAACAACAACAACACTACAACAACAACAACAACAACAACAACAACAACAACAACAACAACAACAACAACAACAACAACAACAACAACAACAACAACAACAACAACAACAACAACAACAACAACAACAACAACAACAACAACAACAACAACAACAACAACAACAACAACAACAACAACAACAACAACAACAACAACAACAACAACAACAACAACAACAACAACAACAACAACAACAACAACAACAACAACAACAACAACAACAACAACAACAACAACAACAACAACAACAACAACAACAACAACAACAAACAACAAACAACAACAACAACAACAACAACAACAACAACAACAACAACAACAACAACAACAACAACAACAACAACAACAACAACAACAACAACAACAACAACAACAACAACAACAACAACAACAACAACAACAACAACAACAACAACAACAACAACAACAACAACACACATCCATCCTTGTGATTCCCTGTTTCGTCAACTTCGGAGCCAAAGAAGCGGTCTCGGAATCCCGATGAATGAGTATCAATTCCAGTGAAAGAGCCTTCCTTTCCCAGACCTCCGATGCCATGAAGCAGGATACCACACGAAAACACTTCAGCACCGTGCCTCCGACACGAGTAGCAACAAGAAGCTCCGGTTTCGAAGCCACTGGAATCCTGGCCAACAGATTTCAGAGCATGTCGTGGCTTCCCGCAAAAAGAAGAACAACCCGTGGTTGATTTGATCAAGGAACTCACACAGGGTGTGCTTGCAACTGCGGAGAATGCCGATGATACAAAATATGCTCCTCTTTTTCCGAGGCAACAGAATCCGCAAAGTCGGCTGGCAACGGCAAGCACATGCAGTGAGGTCCTTTTCCCCCTACAAAAGCTGGAACCAACACAAAATCTCTTGATTTTCCCAGGTTCAACGTAGAGTAAACATTTTTCAAGAAGCCTAGCTCCAAACTGCCGCAGTTGGATCCCGCGCATGGCAAAGCATTTTGGAGAAAGCACTGGTTTCTCCAGCTATCTCTGGGAGAACCCAGTGCCTGTGCCGGGCAACACGTTGGTGGCGTAGCAGTACGGCGCCTGACCGACTTTCCGGCGAATCCAAAAAAAACTACTGATTGGGTTTATGGTTTTGGGTTCATGGAGTTGCGGCCGCTAAACAAAGAGGTGCGCCTTTGACAGAATCGACATTCGAGCATGACCTGCAAAAGCAGTGCACGTTTCTCTGCATCTGCCGCGTCTCCGGAGGGGATCAGAATACTTGGTCTCGGATTGCCAGGTTGAAAACCAGGTGATGTTCCTAGGGATCGGAACCCTGCTTCACAATAGATCTCGGCCTTCAAGTGTCAAGAGCGCCCGAGCCTTGAACAGCAGCACCAGAAGGATGAACGCCACCACAAAGAGGACCTGCGTGGGGGCGTTTTGGACTTTCCCTTTTGTGCGGCAAATGGGACTAAGACCGCACCCCAAAGCCACACTTAAGACTTGAGGAGTCCAAACGTGATCGGCTTGCCTTGTGGCTCTCTTCACAAGCATCTGTCTTTGTCTCATTGACAAGCGAAATGCTTAGGTGGCTTCCTGTGGCTTTCCTTTGGTTTACACAAAGGCCTCCATGCTCCAGCACCCCTCCATTTCATTAAGTCCACTGGAAAAGAACAACTATTTCCAGTGTTCATAGATTCAAATGAAACATCTTCATTTCAGCAAATGGACGTCTCCCATTTCAAGAGACGCCCCGCTCCACGCCGCTTTTGCTTCCCCGCGGAGCGGTCGGAGCGAGCGCGCGGCGCAGCGCCGCCGCGGCGCGGCGCGCGGCGCGGGGCGCGAGGTGCCGCTTCTCGACGTCCCACAGCGGCGTGTCCCAGGCGCGCACCGGCAGCCTGGGGCTTGGAATCAGAAGTTCCTTCCCCCCCAAAAAAAAGAAAGAAACAACGAATGAAGAAGAAATGTGTGGGGGGGGGGGGGGTTAAAAAAAAATAAATGAAGAAGAAATGAAGAAGAACTGGGCGGTGGGTGGTGGGGGGGACAAAAAAAGTGACCCCCCAGACAAAAACAACAATCAAAAAACAGCAACAAATGTAGAAGAAATCCCCCCCAAGAAAAAAAACCGTTCTTCTGCAACAGCCGAGCAGCCCGCTCAACAACCGAACAGTCAATAGCCCGGCAGCCCCCCTCCAAAAAATATATAAAACAACGAATGAAGAAGAAATGGGGAGGGGGGTTGTTTTGTTTTGATTCTTCCTTTGAACCAAGCAACCAAAACGCTTGGTACCCTCAAACAAGTCGCGAAGTTTGGAGGTTCCAGCGATGGTATAGTGTGGGGTTTGCGCTTGAAAACTGCCAAGCCAAAAGGGTACCGAGCCTCAGGTAAGTGAGCAATCAGACAATCAGGGCTCCGACATCCCCTCAAATCTTCAGATAGACTGGGAGCGCAAAAAAAGGAACCACAGGAAACCACACCAGTTCGTCCAAAAGCTCCCAGCAACCTTGTTCAGCAAGGGGCTGGAAGCCTCAAGCGGATTCGCAGGGTCAATCAAAGTAAATCCTATTCAGGGGCTTGCTCATTAACCCAGACTGGGATTTTCCAAGGACACAATCGAGCCAACCGCGAGAAAAAGAACAACTAAGGGATCACGGGCTCTCGTCTGGTGGCATGCTATTTGTTTTGCTTGATCTTGAGTTCCCTGCAGATAGCAATGGATCCCCCGCGGCTTCCTTTAAACATACACATGCCGCTGCCTTTGCTCTTTCCTCTTCACACACCCTGCAATTAAGAACCTTCCTCACAGCTGCCGCTCGCTTCACCCACTTCCGCGCATGGTCACAGAAAGTTGATGCTACCAATCACACTTCTCCAGGAATGCGGAATCTCAAGATGCATCCAACCAGCCAGGGCTTCTTTCACGACCATAAGACTGGACTTGGGCTGTAACGACTCAATAATATTGCTTTCTGCTGGATGTGTTACACGCGACGCATTCTCAACAGAAACGATTTCTCATCCGGGCATTCGAGCAACTTCGACAGGAAAGCATCTGGGGTGTTCTTCGTGCCGCAAAGGAAACCATCTTCTTTCTGGCTTTATGCACCATCCAACTGGTGGTTTCCCTTAAGGACCAAAGCCTGGCATTCCCTGCTTATCGCACCGGCAAGTATTGGGGCAAACCCCGAAGCATTCGCACGGCTTTTTTTTTCCGCACACCTCGAAGCTCCGGCCTGAAGCATGTAAAGGACTCCACTTCCAGCGCGGCCTCCGGCACTGCCGGATTTCCAGGGCCTCCACGCACGCGGGTTCCCTAGGGCCTAAATCAGGGGAATACTTGCCAAATAGAGCCATGATAGGACAAAACCACTTAATGTTGACCCAGGATCAACAAACCCGTCCCATTATTAGGGGGTGTTCCCTCTAAAAGTGGTTTGAATCCCGGCAACTGTTTGTACTTCTGAGGCACGATATGTGTGGGGTGGATGATGTTTAATCATGTTTTACCCTCCGGAACAAGGCATTTTGCACACATACTGCCAATTCACAAAGTGAACACCTGCGTTCCTCGTACGAAGAGCTGGCATGAAATCGCTCAGCCATCCCTTAATTGAGCTCGCAAAGTCGCCAACAATTGCGACAACATCTCATTGGCCAAGTGGCTGCTGAGGCTCAAGATCACAGTTGTGTCACTGTGGCCTTGGTATCGCAATGGGTAATGGGTGGCCAGTGCTTGGTCAACGTTCAACCCCTAAACCTAGGAGATAACTAAATATTTGCTATCACTTGCTGGTGCGATAGGCAGGGAATGAGACATGGAATGAACCCGAGAAAAAGTCTTCCAACTGGCCAAGGGGACACAGGTTCATCCACGCCTGGCAACCTTCACCTCCTCCCTGCTTGCCGTGCCAAGCGGGGTTCCTATCCTCATGACTTTGTCACCTTCAGGAAAAATCCTTGGGCACAGCAAGTGATCCCAACCCCCCCCCCCCCACCGTGACGAAAAGTCGCTGGGAAGTGGCAACCTAAAGGGTAAGCCAACCGAAAGTCGGACCTAAACCAAGGTATCCTCCCACATATTAACGTGGAACCTGGGGTGCCCTGCAAGACCATTTTTGTTTTAAAGGGACCCTCTGTCAGGGATGCCAGGAAGTGGCAACTCTAAACCCAACGACCTTCCGACGCAGACCAACCGCGGCGATAACGCCGAGCCACGCACCGGCTGCGGCGCTGGCCACAACAGCACCATAGCTTCGCAGTAGAGGTCAGGCCAAATCCTCGAGCTTCACACGCGAAGCTGTGAACAACTCTGAACGTTGTTTGATCAGGGATCCTTACATGAAAAACACCTGAACATTGCAACTTGTAAATGGTGTTGCTTCCCTTTTTTTTGGGGTTGACAAAGCCATGTTTCAAATGGTTGCAAAAGTTTGATAAGCCGGTATCTCCAAAAGCATGCTGCTAATTTTGAAGGCCCAGCAGCTCGCGTTGCCATCAACTCTGAGTCATGAAACAAGCAAAAGCAAACAAAGGATGGGGGCAAATCATGATGTCCTTCACTTTGCGTGACGTCGCACACCTCCCTAGTGACATCGTTATTTGTTGGCCAGAAGGACGGAATCGTCAATCTTGTTTTTAGCCTATGAAGGCAGACAGCCTTCAAATGCGGACAAAGATGCAGCTCCAGCCCAAGCAAGTAGTGGTTCACCCTGCCAGCAGAGACCAAGGCCTGCAAGATTGGTTGACGCTCGGCCGGGATTGGCGCTGGTCCGGCAATCACATGCTTCTTAGTAGACATGGTTGAACAACCTCCTCAGAAAGTATGGTTGAACAAGCTCGTCAACAAATATGATTCAAAACCTTTCTTCAACAATCCTGGCCTGGCGGGGTATTCCGATATTCCCACTGACGGGCAAGAACGCCAAGAGGAAGACGACAGGCAGCGATTTGGTGGCTGAACCCGCAAAAAGGTGGCTTCTCTTCAGAACAACACCAACTGACAAGAACACTTTTCCGTTTTTTTACCTTTCAAGCCCCATCCAATTTCCGGATTCCCCAATATTTCCCCTCCGAAGCATCCCGGCTCAAACTCAGTTGAACACGACCCAGGTGATGTCATTTATTCATGTGCAGTTCCGCCAGAGCCAGGTGTTCAGACACTCTACTCAAAACCATGATTTGAACATGGGACGGTCCCTTAACCTTCATCTCGGGCTTGAATTGCCGCTCACCCATTTCGGAGCGTGCAAAGCGACCGGCCGGGAGGAATTGGTCCCTTAGAACACAATCTGGTGCAAATTCCTATCCACCAAGCGAACATCAGACATGGAACCCTATATAAGAAACCTTCATTGGCGACCTCGTTATCAAACTCCCTGAAACGTGACGTTGAACGACACATGCCCATTGTGAAAAATCTGTGCGGGCCGCGATCCCCTCATGTTGCACCTACTGTGGATGGACGAAAACCTGCACTACCTAAGAAACCCTGGAATGATGATTTCCCTGTAAATACCAACAAACAATGGCTTCTCATGGTTGTGCAAATTCGTCCATCCACAGTATGTCATAGTATGTCCCCTTTAACCATTGCGAGCTCACACTCAATCAACAGCCAAGTGATGTCTATGCAAAAACCAAAGGCCCTGAAGTGTTGCTTCCTGTCAGGAAGGTTGTTCAAAACCAATAGCTTGTTCTAAGACCAAGAAGACATTGATGACGTTGTCCTCACTTCTGGAGTGGATGGCCCGAACAAAGTAACTTTTTTTGGATGCCACTAAAATGGCCCAAACCCAAAACGTCTATAGTTCATGAACTCTGGGAGTGATGCATGAGTAGTTCACCCAGGCTCTAGGTTCCTCCCAATGGGATCATCATGGATATCAGTGGGCTTGTCTCAAAGTAGGATCCTGGGCTGGACACTTTGTGAATACAGGAATCGCATGGGTATAAATCATTAGGGCCCCTCAAAACTCAAAATTCATGGATAATAGGTGCCTACGTTTCCCCAAGAATCACATCCAGGATTTTTGTTGGTTTTTTAGATATTGGGGACCCTCTCAACTCGGGGATAGCAGGGGTTCCTTACATTGGCCCTTTCGTTTGGATCAAAAGTCTCAAGTCTGTTGGACCCACCAAGCTGCAACTTTTGAAGGGCAAACCCGGTGACCCAGGTCCAAATACTTGGTGTCACTTCCTGAGTGGACGCGCCCAAAAGTCCAGGAACCTGCAATCTACCACTCAAACGGTCCAAACCCAAAAGTCTAAACCCCAAAAAAGTGACTACTCCCAAAAGTCTAAAATGGTCCGAACCCGAAAAGTGACTCAAGTCCGAAACGGAACTCAGGGAGCGAGTGGCCACAGAGCCTCGGCTTCCTGACTGCCCTCGGGCTCCAGAGCGCACAGCTCCGCCGTCGGCCTCGACTCCCTAAGCTGCGGGATTGGAACGCATGACTTCAAAGGCACCTGCCACTCAGCCCCTTGAAACAATAGGCTCACTCGAGTTCATGGACTGTCACTTTTTGGTTTGGACCATTGTAGTGGTAAAAAGTGTCTTTTTCTTTGGCCAGGCCACTCAGGAAGTGAGTAAGGCAAGGTGTTTCAACCTGCTTTTGGTTTCCCACCAACAAAATGGGGGCCGAATGGGGCTGATTGCTTAAAACCAGGTCGCATGGGAATTCGGTATGTCTCACCGAGCCCCCAATGGGATGCATTTCTTTGTGGACAATCTCAGTGGAACCCAACTGAGCAGGGACAGTGCTTTGCAATCCTTGTAGGCCAAAACAGCTCTACTTAAATACCAAGGGAAGGCAAAACAAGCCCTCTTCACCCGTCGCATGGCCTTTGACATACAGATCATTGTAGGCAAACAAAAGCGGGAACCTTTTTTGAACCTGCGGAGAGCTTTGATTTTTGGCATGCACAAAAGCACCGGAGGAACTTTCTTCACAGGGAGCCAGTTTTATTCACTGTGAATCAAACAAGCAAAGCATTTCTCCAGTCATCACATTATTTTTGGCAAGCTTGATTATCGCTTGCTTCATTTGTATTGGAATATCATCTTGACAAATGCAGTCAAGAGCTGTCCCAAGCGGACCATCAACCCATCCAATCCGACCGTCGCCGTGTCACGAATACCTGAACGCTCAGATGCCCAGTGACCAGGGAAAAACAGGGCATCCTTTTTTGGTTGGTTGACTTTAAAGGGGAACCCTTCCCAAAAAAAGGAAAAAAGGGCACCACTGGGCAACTGGGACAGGGTCCACCCCTAACCCCTATCCGCCTGGTTCCCACAAACTTTTTGAAGGAAACCATCTGAGGGGAATTCGGTTCCTATAAATATGCCAACTCACCAACCCGACAGAAAGGGGGGGCTAAAAACCGAACCTTCATCAGGGCAGCAGGTTTCTGTTGCGACTTCCGCCCATGCGGCTTCCGCCCGTGCCAAGTCGCTCGTCCAGCGAGGACCAAAGATCACCTTACAGAAAGCCCTGGACAAAATAACGATTGGGAATGAACTTTGCTTAGGGACCCTTTGGTGGACATCATTCAGGTGGGGATTTCTGTCCGCCAACCACTTTTCAGGGGGTTCCCAAGTAAATTCATAGCCGAATGTTTCCCCAAGAGGACGTGGCAAAAAAAAAGTGGCCCCCTGACTTCCATTTGCGCTTGTGGCACGAGAAAGATTCACAAAGCTGGCCACAGCTGCCTGGTGCAGCTAATCCCTCCAATTGGCTCACTTGCTCGTTGGCGTGTGATAAAGCATTGGCCACTGCTTGCTAAGTTGCTTATGCCTGAAAGATAGACAGACAAGTCCAATTGTCCTCCAAGCAAAAACAAAGAATGCCATAGGGGTTGCGCCGGCGAAAATCAAATAATTTGGGACCAACAAAGGACACCATCCAATCAATCTTCAACTGCGAACAAATCGTCTGAGGCCTGAGCAAACCCAGGCTTCTTGGAACCAACCCCATATCCCTTCAAAACCCCATTTCGGGGGAATATGCATACATATATATATATATGTATATATATATATATACATATATATATATATATATACAACCATACACTCTTCAGCAAATGGAAGTGGATCTTCAAGTCTTAGAACTCCCAGCGCCGGTTTCCACCTGGGCCTTGGGGGTTTCGGTGTCCCTTCTCAGGCCCCTGGAGGCCCCGGCAGGCCCAGGCGGCCAGGCCCGCGCGGAGCTGCGGGACCTGAGGCGCCTCAACTTCCAGCTCCACCCGGGGGAAGAAGACGTCCAGGGCGCTGCAGGGTAGCCTCAGACCGGGGAAATCCGAAATCTGGGCGTTTTTCGCCCTCGGTTTGGGATCATCCCCGCCCGGAAATTTGGCTCTTGCCACCTTTTTGGAAGGATGGGCTTGGGGAAGGGTCAATAGGAGCGGTTGGGGGGTGCCCCCCGCTTCCTTGGGGGCTTTGGAGTGAATATGAACAAGGTGGACAAAATGGAAGGTTGCCACTTTTGGGTAGCAGACGAAAAAAAAAACAATGACCACTTTCAAAGGCGCCCATTTTTTTAAAACAGTTTTGGGGGCCGGCCGTTTTGTTTGATTGGCTGGCCCGCAACATGGGTTGCGGGCTTAGTTGGGGTCGTACGAGTACCTGGGTGAATGTGACTATTTGGGTTGAATGGTGGTACCCCAAGATGGTTTTTCTCTTGGTTTCCTTTTCAACCAAGCTAGACTGGCTTTTGACTGACTTCCCTTTACCTCTTCCGGGTTGTGCACCCCATGGTTGCGCACCGGGATTTCTGGCCTGGATGTGAACCATCTGTGGCTTAAATACGCAGCAGGTGTCCAAACACCACTACCGGAATGCGTTTGTTGATTGAGTTCTAGATTCTAGAGTTTCGGGGGTAGTGGGAACCATGTTGGATCCCACTTGCCAGGAAAGGGGAATATTTGCCGAAACCCAAGGTTCAGTCCCAAAAGGGTTTTAAGGGAGTCCAAAAGGCAAACCCTAGAAACATTCGAAGATTTGGTTCCCTGGCCGCAAACTGGGGCCCTGGCTAGACGTGGGGTGGAGTACTCCAAGCGTCAAAAAAACATTAGTCAAAGTCGACAGATCCCAAGGCACACATGGGTTTTTGTGTCTCTTTTTCAAACCGACCCCCTTTTTGGAGAGGTTTCCAGGGGAAACCATGAGGACACCGACCATTTCGGGGGTCCGCTAAAAACCACGCACCCACAAAATCTCCCTGCTGCCGTGGGGCTTCTTTGGCCACGGCCTCACTGCAAGGAGATGTTTGGAGTGTCGTTTCATGACTAGCTCCTCCAGTAGAGAGGTTAGAATAAAGGGCACCTCTTTTTTTTGTGGTCTATTTTAGTGGGGGAACCCTCCCCCCGAAGAAACGGTAACAGGGCACTAATTACTGGGGGACCATGACGTGTTGCGTGCCCGAAGAATGCGGCCTTGGAAACCGGCTGGCACGTGGCAAGACGAGGTGATGCTCGAGCCACCTTGTGCCAAGACCAATTTTCATGGGCACCGTTGCGCCAATTTCCCAAAAGCCAAAAGAATGAACGTGAACCGAAGGACAACACATGGGTATGGGTCAAAATTAAGCCACCAAAAAACCGCAGGTGTTAGTCCTTGTTTCCATTTGGCAGGGTTCCATTTGGGGTACCTATTTTTGACCCACACCCACATGTTGAGATGCGAAAACGTTCGAATTGCACCTTGAAGCGCTTCACGTTCCTACGGACGCCCGTTTTTTTTGTGAAGCGCATTCTATCCGTAGTGGCTGATGGCTGCAACAATTCAGGCAGTTGAGCCGTGGAGACCATTTCATGAGCTTTTCTAGGATCATCTAACCAAAAAGACCTGGGCAAGTTACCTTTCAGACACTTTGGTTGCTGTTGACCCCTCTGCAACAAGTTGAAACTTTTGTGGGTCCAATGGAAAATACACAGTTTCGCAAAAAGTTAAAGTCGAAAGATCCGTTACCAAACAGCCACAAAACACACAGGCTTGGCGTTTTTTAAGACCTGCGCGGGTGAGCTCGTCCGGCATGGGAACTGCCAGGATTGGAAGGCCTCTTTGATACTGAACCTCCGAGCCTGACTCAAAGGCACTCAAACAATGGCTCATGCGCACAGCACTGGCTCAGAGCCGTTGTTGAGCTATATGACAGGGGCCCTCAAGAACAGTTCCGGGCTCTGAATCACTACAATCTGATATCATTCACACTTGGCGGCCATTGCCCTCTCAAACGTCATAACTGTTTGTTGGCAGGCGACAAATACGCACACACACAGACACACCTTTCTCACAATTTTGCAGCACGAAAAAACATATGGCCAACAAGGTGTCAAGGTCAGAAGGGAGGAAAACATAGGGAACCAGTTGAATGTGAACCGACCGAAGCAGATCTGACACACCTCCGGCGCCCGGGCCCGCCTGCTGCTTGTGCGCTTCTGGGCGGAGCGCCAGTTGGGGCTGCGGCAGTTGCTCTGCCAGGTGCGGCCGTAGCGAGTATCCAACCTGATGCCCTCCCTCCAACAAACATACTGTGGATTGACAAAATCCAATTCGCACCACCTAAGAAACCCTGGAATGGTGATTCCCCTGTAAATACCAACAAACAATGGTGTCAACCATGGTTTCAAAGTGGTGTAGGATTTCGTCCATCCGCAGTAGCACCTGTGGGAGGGTACCCGGAAGACGACTTTCCTCTTAGGGGTACCCTGTGTCAGTTGCCATGTTAGTGGGAGGGAGGGTCGGGGAAATGATCCAAATCAGGTTTCACTGGCGAAACCAGGAAGGGGTTTTGTCTGAGAAACCCAATTTTTTGATTTTCAAACCTTGCTAGCTGAGGGACTTGGGGAGAAACCCCTGGAGAACCCCCCAAGATCGGAATTCGGGTGCAAGCCCTCGACTGCCCTCCGAAATGCTGTGCTCGTGGCATGTGTTTTTTCCAAAGTGATGTGCTCAAACAATTGGCCTTGGAAGTACATGATTTTAATAGTGACGTCTCATTGACTTTTAATAGTGTTTCAAGGGAACTCTCACACGAAATACCTCTTCAAAGGACACCGCCCCTAAAGGGGCCACGTACACCCTAAACCCATCGGTCCGATAGCTGACTTCCCTTTCCGAGAAGCAGGCCATGGATATTGCGCATGGACCACACGCTGAGGCCATCCAAGAACCAACCTAGGATGATGCTCTCATGCGCGGGGAAGGGAAGAAGCAAGAACGTGTCTCAAATAAACCATATTGTTCTTTGACGGGAAGGAGGAACATCTCAAACAATCCTTGCTTTTCTTTATTGGAGCATCTAAAACAAAATGCAGCTTCGGCACACGAAGCTAGTGCTTGGTTTAAAAATCCTGGGCGCATGTCCATCTCCCGTGGTGTTAGGATGGACATATCACTATGTATCAGCGATATACTCCGAAGAGCCGTGGGCCCTATTCACTGAGCGTGGGTATGGAGGGCGAATTAGGTCCACTGTGGTTCTAGGGCAACCTCCCAGGTGAAAAAGTCCCAGCCCCCGCCAAAAAAAAATACGTATGCCAAACAGCACCCCTTCTCCAAGCCCAGCTTTCCTAGAACCTGCTTGGGTTCCTGAAACCTCAAATCGGGGCCGCTAGCCCCTGCTTGGTCCCAGCTACGTCTCAGTGGGAAGACCAAGGCAGCCGGCACCTCCTCTCCGTCCATGATGAAGTCTTCCTTGTCCTGGGAAGGTAACATGGCGTCCAGCGCGGCTTCTGATGCCAAATACAATATTTTCGCGTACTGGGCCATTTACCTTGAGGACCGCTTCCATAAACTGCCACCAGATTTCATGCCTCTTGTAGGTCACCTGATTTGTGGTTGTTTTCTGTCACTGCTGATACCCCCACCAGACTTCGAGGTTGGGACCTGTCCACGACAACTTCCAAAACTTGTACTTGCGTTTCTGATGCCGCTAACAATTCCTTTTAACACCATCAGGGGGTACCAACAAATTCTCCGAAAAGCTTCCAACTAGCACGAGGACCCGTGAGAAAGGTTGGTTTCCCTTGCTTTGACTTCGGCTTCGCCCCAAAGGGGTCCCCAATTCCAGGGGAAACAAATCCCGGCGCATTTTCTTGTGCTCGACAATGACCTCTCAGTCCAGAAGACCTGTTGCAGACCATTCAGCCGAAGGGCCGCCTCTGGCCAGTTGCAAAGGTAGACATCCATGATGGGATCGGAGACCCTGAAGCTCCGGAAATCGCGCACGCTGCGTGCTTCACTCAACAACACATGTGTTCTTGTCCAGCCACCACTTTTCCTCCTGAATCCCAAGTGAAACGATTACAAGCAAACCAGCACAGGGGCACAGGGGCCACCGGGGTCCCAGCTTCTTTTTCACCCCTTTAAAGCCAAGTGGGAAGGTGACAAACTCAGCTTCAATTGAAAGGTAGCTTCCAGGGTTGAGCCCAAATGCGTAAAAAGGGGGTTTATTAATAAACAGGGGTTGATTAATCCGCGGTCGGCAGAATGTCTCCCTTTAAACATCAGCCTAAGAGGAAACTCACGCACGCTCCAAGCCGAGCAGCTCGCGGGTGTTGCTGAGCACCGTGGCGGTGTCCTAGCAACAGAGTCGCATGGGATGACCATCGGTTGGAGATCCAGCAGGAGGATGATTCAGTGGGGATTGGGATGTTCAGTGGGGGACGGGATTTTGACGCATGGCCACATGGGAAAAGTTAAGCAGGGGTCAAATTTGGGGACCGAACGGAATATTGATCACCCCCCCCTTTTTTGGCTTTTGATGGGTAATTGTCAAGCTTTTCTTGGGATTCTTTAGCTTCTGACCAGGGCAAACGCTTGGGCGCGGTTCATGCATTGATTTGGGGAGGTGTCTGTTTTTATCGGGTACCTCTTTAAAGATGAAAGGCTAACCACGCATTTGAAACGGTTTCCTGTTGGGAGACCACTTCAAGTGTGGGACTCTGGCTCCGATGCTCAACCTCAGACATGAGTCGAGCCTTGAGGTTGAAAAGGTACTTCCTCTCCATCTGGGTGAATTATAATATTTCACCAACCTGAAATAAGGTGGTTGGGACTATTCCCTACATAAACCACCATCTGGGGTGAATTCGGTCATGTGAGGTCGTTATGATTCACCCAGCTCCATGCTTCCTCGGTGCCTTCTCGTCCGGGCTCCAGTGGCCCCACAAAAGCCGACAGGACAAACGGCCTCCGTGTCGAAGAAGAGCAACTTCTTCTGAGCTCGCTTGGCATCCACGGTGAAGTAGAGCCTCACTCAGCTTCTCCAAACTGCGGGAACCCGCCCGTTATTGAGGAACCTCATGTCTGTCTGTTGGCCACAGGTTTTGTTCCATTTTCTAAGTCTGAGACAAACCCAACTGCTGGCCCCAGTCAGGTTTATGCTAGAGAGACCGGCGCCCCAGAAGGGAAAACCAACTCCCGACAAAGGTGCTTCAACTAGGGCGGGCACCCCCAAGCATCGGCTGGTTTGTCAGTTTTCTTTGTGTTGACACTCGCATTCCGATCATTGTCGCTGGCAGCTTTTGGGTCCATTCGTCCGATTCCTGGACGCCATCCTGTAGGCGGGATACAAAGGCAAATGAACCAAACCTGACCCATGATTTGCTTCAAGAAACCATCAACCGTCAAGATGAGGTAATTACTGTTGACCCCAAACTGATAAACCTGGTTGATTAATATGGGGGTGGCCCCTCTGATTCGAGATTCAAACCCCTTTTGGGGCGAACCCCCCCTATTGAAAGGATGGGTTTATCAATCCAGGGTCAACGTGGTGCGCTTCAAGTTGTTGGTATGTGCCACTGGCAAAAACCTGTGAGCGTTGATGCAGCACGTCCACAACAAACCACTGAAGAATACGAATCTGCCAAGGACATGGGATCTGGCACTTTTTTCGTGCTGCCCTTTGAGGGTCCCATTAAAAACAGACACACCAGCAAATACAAACATGGACCAGCGTGCAGCACGAGAAGCTGCCATTTCTCTCGGACGGCCTGCTTGCGTCAACTTCGCATGCCTTTTCAGAGGAAGAAACTCATCAGGGTGGCAAAGAGCCTTTCGCTAGTTGATGTTGATTCAATTTAGCACGGCTTGCCATGATCCAGATTCCAAAGTTAGCATCACTCTGCCACGACAATATGCCCAAAGATTGTTAGAGACTCTTCGTTTGAGAAACGGACTTTGTTCAGTTGCTGGGGTGTGTGATCCATGGCTGAACCAAACAAGTCAACCAACGCTTCCTCCCCGTGGATCTCACTGGAGTACCATCAAATTATCCCTGCTGGGTACGTGTTTTTTTCTTTTTCTTACCATACCATGGATTTCCCAAGGATAACCGGACATCCACACATGGGTTGCCAAATTATGTTTGCCCAGCCCCTTTCTAAACAAACATCAGAACAAAAAAACAAGGAGACCCCCCCCCCCAAACAAACCAACTGGCGGCATTTTCCACCGGCCCTTCTAGACTCCGAAAAGGGACACCAAGCCTCAACACGCGCCGTGGGCTCCTTGGGCATGGAACTCCGCTTTTCCGGCGCGGACATCCCCGAAGCTCCCTCACCCTGGTTTGTTTTTTTTGTGTGGGTTCGTCCCTACCAAAGACTTCCACCAACACCCCTCCCTCCTCCCCCCAACCAAAAAAAATAAAAATCAGGGGGGGGGGGTACCCTGAAGAACCCCAAAAAGTTCTCAATTTGGGGTGGTCTCTTGACCCAATGCCCGCCACCCCCCCCCCCCCCCCCGCCGTGGCGCTGGAAGGAGCCCCTCAGCTGCTCCGCGGCCGCGGCCACGGCGCGGCACCGCTCGCGCGCCAGGCAGGCCTGCTCGAGCGGAGCGCGGCGTTCGCGGCAAAGGTTTTGGCGAACACAAAAACTTGAACTCCTCCCCCCCGCAGTCACCCACCCACGAATGTTGACTCCATATTTTTCAACCCCTTTTTATTAATAGGGGGGGTGTGTTCCCCTCAGTTTGGCTTAGGGTCAACACGGCTGTGGGTGAAAAATAGGGTAACCCCAAAATGGAACCCTGGTGAATGGAAACATGAACTAAAACCTGCGGTCCACACCCGCATAGTGTAGTTTGGGTAGTGGGTTAGGGTCAACACAGTTTAAGGGAATTGGGACCCGAGAGAAAACCCCCCGGTGTTTTGGACTCAAACCTCTTGCGAGTCCCTGAATTGTTGGAATCAAGCGCGTGGATTCAAACACAATTGATAAGGAAGGGGGCGTTGGTGCTGCCATGTCGTAGAAAACGGGTCATTGGTTGTAGAGTTCCTCCTTGGATCACCTTCGGCCATGGAAAGTCCGTCTTTCCTTTGTGCAAGGCAAGACACTGCCCGGGCCTTTATTCGCTTCCAAAAACCAGGGCCAAGATTTCTTTCTCTTCCTGTTACACCACTTCTTTTGGCTCTTTCGAGGCGATGGTTGAAACCAACTTTGCCACCCTGGCCCCGAAGGAACCCCACGTCAGCTCCACTCGGGCACGCCTGCGGCGTATTGCCATGGAGCAGCAGCAGCAAAGTCAAGAAGTCTTCCTCGTGGCTTTTCGGCACGCACCTCAGAACGCTCGACATGTCTTTGGATGATTGCGCGAGCAAGTCCCTGCCCAATAGTGTCCAGTTCGGATGATTTCGCAAGCAAGTGCCTGCCTGATAGTGATTGGATGGCCAACTTTTGCTTGGCAGTCTATTTACACACACTATCTCGCTGGAGAAAATTGAAAAGGGCCCCGCCGCAAAGCTTGAACACCTGGGAACACGTTTGCGAGATTCGGGGATGCAAACCCTCCAGATCCTGTGATCAAACATCCCTGTTAGCACATGGCGATTCAGGTTTGCACACCCAGCAGAATTACTCAGCAAACATGGAGCAGAACAAACATGGCCAACCAGCTAACCTTCCATACTAGAACCCGGTTGCAATACCAAAACAGCCTCCTTTTGGCCCACGTGTAAGGTACACCAAACATACCTTTGCAGATGTTTTATATTGAGTTTACCCGAAAGTATAACATGGCTGTGGTTGTCAAACATATGAACCCAAAAGTGGGTTGGTACATGGAAACATGGACTGAGCTCGGTCCATTTCCTGGGGTGACTCATTTTGACCCATGCCCACATGGTTTTGGAGGCAGCGGCGTGGCGAAAAGATCCGGTCCAAGGCGCACATCACCGTCGTTCTCCCAGGGCAACGTGCCGTGGTGCCTTCGGAAAGTGGGTGTCTCACGACGGCTTCCCGGAAAGGTGTGGAAGAATGACACGCGTGCGGAGAAATGGTGGTTTAAAAAAGGGGGCACTATGTTTCCCACTTTGGGTGGTTGACAATCACCTCGTTGTGGGCGACAAATCTAAAGCCATTTGCTTTTTGTCAGGTTGTTTATTGAAAAGAGAAACACAAAGAAACGAGTAGAGAACCTCCCAGCTTCCTATTTCTCCCAATGGACCTCTTAGTCATAAGCAATCCACGGCAATGAGCACCCAGTAAATAAAGCTCCATTCAAACCGACATTGTTGACATGGAGATGTATGTCCACCAACCATTTTGCTGACATCCGCAGATTCCCAAAGAACAGAAAGGATGGCTGAGGACCTGCCCGCGATTTTGAATGGACCTCATATGGAAGGGTTGAAGGTTTCGAGCTTGGACACCCACACATCTTGAAGGGAAAACTCTGAAGGGGGTAAACCAAACTAGTGTTGTTTGGCCAGTTTCGTATCAAACGCAAAAAGGATGCCCGCCACAGACAGAGGAGTGAATGACAGTTGGGGGGGCTTCAACGTTGCTACAAGGCCCGACAACTTAAGACACATCGGATGCATCCCCCCTTTCGGCCCAAAAGGATGCAACTGCACGACTTCTCAACTTGGATCGTTGTCGACGTTCTTCAGTTTGCATGGTGTCAGACCAGGACAGAGCCAACCCCTTTGCTCAA